CTGAGGCTGGGTTGCAGCAAGCAGCTGGAGAAGTGGACAGGGGTGGCAGCAAAGGCCCAAAATGGTGGCTAAGTCTTAGAACTAGTGTTTGCTTGGGGAGGAAGAAGAAAACAATAGCCCAGGGCCCACACTCCCAGGCTGAAGGGCTGGGGAAGAATAGCCAGCCTGGGAGACTTGGGGAATGCCTCCAAACTCTACCCCATCGCCATGGAAAATATTCCTAAACTGTTGGCTAGGACTTAAATGGATAAAGCATCTAGCTTTCCAGTAAGGTCTGAGTCTAAGGGTGGTCAGTTAATGGCAAATAGGAGAAAAGAAATGTAAACAGAAGCCTGAGCTGGGCCAGCGCTCGTCCCCATCAGCTCTCTGCTGCTGTGAGCAAACCCCAGCCAGAACCAGCGTGGAGAAGAGCAGGCTGTCTGGCCCCAATTAATGTTTTCCTTTATAAGTAGTGCTGTGGTTACAGTGTCCCTTCATAGCAATAAAAACCCTAAGACACCCTGCCTCCCAAGAACTGGGATTAAAGGCTAATCTAGGTTAACTAATAACCTGAATGACATGTACTTACGTAGGCCTTCATGTGGTAAGTGGCCATGTCAGAGGAGCAGCAGGTGGCAACTGACTTCAGGAGATTTCTCCCCCAGAATGCAAGTAAGTCACTGATGGGTGAATCTCGGATAGGCCAGGCCCGGAGGCTTCTGCTCTGGAATGTCTATTGCTATTGCTGAGTCTTTACATGTTTGCCACTGCCATTTTTCTCTGGTATCTGGTATGGTGTGAATGGGTGTGAGGGATCCCCACTGTCTTTAACGTAGTATGATCTCAGGGACATACCCTGTTCTACTAGGCATTTTTACCTGTGGATTATTATAAAGATTTCCTCTGAAGTTGTTTAAACTGTTTAAAGTATTGCCCCTGTCTCAGATAAAGTAAGGGCTACCTTTCTTTGTGGTCACAAAATGCAGCCTGCCAGTAAAAGAACTGGCTGGGAAAAATAGCTTGCTTTGCTTGCACTCTGTTAATCTGTAACAAGCTGCTTAGACATGAATGTATGTGGATTCTTGGGATTATTTGTTTTTCATTTGTAATATGAAAAATGTTAATCATGTAAGGGACATGGAAAACATGTTTTTTACTTGTATTCATTCTAATCATTTGCTTAAAAAATAGAATGTAATCACACTGTAACTTTTATATTGCTTGAAAGATTCTGCTGAGGTAAATAAGCTGTAAGGGAAAAAATAAAAACACAGAAGGGACACATCTGGATAGGGGTAAGAAAAGAAATAATGAGAGAGAGATAGAGAGACGAAGAAAGATCCTGAAGGTGTGTGTGCTTCCTTCTTGGGCCAGCCCTAGATAGATATGTTTTGTTCTCCTCACTGCCTCAGATAGATTAGTCTGCCGACTCCATGGCTCCCCATCAATTCCTGAGCTGCTGAAAGCTGGCCCTTCCATCAGTAGTCATCAAAGTGCTTTATACATATTACATACATTCTGCTTTACCTCAGGATCTGCACAACCAGAATGAAGGTGTAAGAGCATCCCGATTTTACTGGCAGAGGAGCTGAGGTAACTGCTATGCTGAAAGAGAAGGTCTTACTGGTGAGGGGCAGGGCTGTATATAGTGAAGGTCTTCCGGGCGAGGGGCAGGGCTGTATATAGAGAAGGTCTTACTAGTGAGGGGCAGGGCTGTATAAACGGCCATCAAATACTTGAGGAGTGAGGAATGCTGACCTGAAGTCATGGGTCTCTGCTCCTTAAGTTTCTCTTGTACTCCCTAACCACTAAATGAGTCCCATTTCTTTTTCCTTACCAAAAACATACACGAAAGCTGTGTGGGCATGGTGGCTCTTACCTGTGATCCCAAACATGGAGGACTGAGGCAGGATTGTCATGATTGAGGACAGACTAGGTTACAGAGTGAGATCCTTTCTCAGCACTTCCACAGGGAAAACAAAACAAAAACACTAAGAAGGAATAGGTCACTTTTGATTTATGGATATTCTCTTCGTATTCCAGAGTGACCATGAAATGGTACAGCAATGGCCTAGCCATGTATCATATAGCTGAAGCAAATGGTCACACCATGCCCTTGACCACAGTAACATGGTTGAAAAAAATAATACCAAATCATTCATGGATAATATGACTGTATCCTATCACTGGGTTGGCTTTCTTTGCTTTTGAAGCACTTGAACTAACCCAGATTCTCAGAAGGTCAAATGATTCAGATTAGGACAAGCCATCTGCTGTGAGCCAGACCCTGCCTTGTGAATAAACCAGGCGATTTACAGTTCACTGAGCTGTAAGCCAGCAAACTGTCCAGGGAACACTGCATTTCAGCCCCGCCCCCCATCTTCACCCAGTGGCTTCTCACAGATGGGATTGGCCTCATTTTAGAGCTTCACCAATAACCAAAGCACTCCATTTCCCTTTCACAGTGAAAAGCTCCTCCTGGCTAAGCAGGGCGGTGTGAAACAGATCACTGCAGAGTTCCGAGGCTACAGACGAACAGAACCTTACCCTTCTTTCCCTCGGTTATGGATAGCCAGTTCTTCACCAATCCCTTCTTCCTCCTTGAAGTTCTCCCAGTCCAATTTGGACTTCTCAAGGGTGCTCATTTTCTGCTTTTTGGCTCCAATTTTCCCCAAAAGGCTGCTCATGCCACTTGGTCTTTTTATCCTATGGAAAGAAAAATGAATATAATAACTCTGACCTCTAGATTAACATAAGAACTCTGACGTCTTAATTAATAGTTTGTATCTGTATGTTTTTTTCACATAAAGTTCCCTGGATTGGAGCTGTTCAGTGGAAGCCATGCTTGTACATAGGGCATTTTCTTTTCTATGTGGAAATTGTAGGCAGGCAGAATCTTAATACGCCTTTCCCGCCTAACACATACAACTGCTTAGCTGCACAGCTGACAGGAAGCCCGCAGCCTTTCAGACCTCTTTCAGGCATGGCAGGTCTCTGCTTGCAGGGAGGGAGGAGAATGGTGGGGTTCAGATATTGGAGTCACATGCATAGGTCCAAGTCCAGCTCTGTCCCAATGACTCAAAGCTAGTTCTTCAAGTACCTGTGTCCTGGTTTCCCAATCTACACTGAATGCTTAATCATGGGTGGTGGGAAATTGTCCATGTGAAGGGTCAAAACAGCATCCGGCATAGGGGTCAGGTGCAGTTAACTGTTGGCCACTGTTAATGTCCTGTTTGTGTTCTGAAGCCCCAGGGGACTATTCTACAGGATAAGAACAGGTTCCCAACATGTACAAGCAAGAAGTCACAGCATTGTAAAAGGACCTTTAAAGGCATTGCCTTTCAACTCCTGTAACTGGGCCTGGTTCTCCCCGGAGGTGGAGAACATCCCAAAGCAGAGAATGTACAGCCTGTGCTCTACTTGCTGGCGATGCTATCTACCACGGGCTATGGGAGAAACCCCAAATGCCAAATTCAAGTCTCGGCAGGTCGAATGTTTCCAGTCAATGTTACATGAATGAGATAAGGCAAACAGAAGGCAGCTAGAGTTCACGAGAAGGTGATATGAGGGGAAGAAACTATAGAAAAAACATGGGTTTTAAAAACATTATTATTTTGTGGGTGGGGAGCAGGGGTGCACAGATCAAAGGTCAATTTTGTGGCGTTGGTTCTCTCCCTCCACCTTATCTGGGCATCAAGGCCAGGCTTGTAGATTTGGATTGTCAGGTGCCAATGGCCTTTACCTACTAAGTCAACTTGCCAATCTGCTTTTGGTTTTATGAAACTAAAATGAATTTTCTGCTGGAAGAAACTGGAGGTTATTTTCTGCTTCACCGAGATAGTTAAGAGTTGAAATGCGCAAGTGGTGCACGCAGGCACTGCAGTGCTTACTCTCCCAGTGCTCTCTCAGCTTCCTTCCCATCTGACTTGCATGTGGTCTACGGTAGATAACCTCAGGTTTACTGCTGAAGGGAATCATTTCTGAGCCAACTTATCATCATTCAAATCCAGTAAGAAACCATGGACCGTGGGCTATCTGTGCCCTAGGATAGGCCAACAGGTTAGTGCCTACACCAAAAACAAGACTTGGGAGTGGTACAAACATTCTTTTCTATAAACACTGGTCCACAGGATGTCAGCTTCTCTACCTAGTTCATTCCCCTACATACTGGACTTATTCATAAAATGCAGATAGTGTCTCCAGGATGAGAAGCTGCTTGAGAGTTTTCTGAGAGCTGTTTTATTTTGCTTAAGATGATTCTAAATGGAATCCAAATGTACTGTATCCATATATGAAAGAACCCTGGCCCTTTCTGTGTGGTAGTACTGATGTGATCATGAGAAAGTTCACTGCAACTGAAAGGTACAGCATCATGTTAAGGAAACAGATATTATACGTGTCTACTTTACTCTGTGCCCTTCCTTAGCAGGGACTTTGATTCATAAGAGGACCCTAATGAGGAGGCTGGCAAATGTGTTCATGGGATTTGAGGAGGTATAATACATTCATTCCCTGTGATCTTTAACACCAATTCCAATAATCAGGCACCCACAGAAGAGAATTTTTGCTTTGCAAAGGGATTTAAAGTCATCTCGCCATCCATCAATTATAGTCATTCAACAGAGACTGAAGTTTCACTGTGCTTGGAATTAAGAACACAAAAAAAGCTACAAGGCCTGATCCTAAGGAGAAACAAAACCTAGTTAAAAGGTAACAAATAGGCAAACTGTGACCACTTACTAAAAGACTCCAGAGAGGAAGTCAGTGCTCCTTACAGCTGGTATCTTCTTCCTGTGCTTGCCCCACAGTCCTGGGACACAAATCCCGTGGCTGCTTGCACATTCCAATTTCTACTGCTCAGTTGGGGAGAGGAACATCCACTTTCCCTATTGTCCTGGAGCTCACTGTGTAGGATCCATGCGTTACTCATTCCTTTTTCCTTGTTGAGACACGGTCTCACCACGTACCCCAGGTGGCCTGGAACTTGCTATGGACAGACAGCTGACCTAGAACTCAAGAGATCTACATGCCTGTGCTAGGATTAAAGGCGTGAGCCACATACTACTGTCTTACTCACTCTGTCTCACCCATAGTGAAGCCAAAAGCTTACTCACGACATAAAATTTTAAAACTTTTAACTGACCAAGTCCTTAATTTGATAGCAGAACTACTATAAAAAAAAAAGTCCCTCTTGTAACAAGAAGACTCAACACTGCTTGAACTGACAGACAGGAAAATCAGTTTCAAAAGTGGATCAGCAAGCACAGGGCATATCGGGGCATTAGTATCTGTCAATAGACAGACCTGGCCTCAAGTCTACACTTCTCACATCAAAACTGGAAACATGCAAATCATTTGCAACAACATTCTTTGGCAGAGACTTGCGCTTTCCTTAGTGTCTGTCATCTGTTTACAGGGGAGGGACACACACATGAACTACTTTCCAGGGCCAGGTGTAGGTCTAGCACCTGTGTGAACGTGAGGAAAGATCAACCTGAGAATTCCCTGTTGTGGGCTTGGAGCCACTGTTCTTTTGGGTTTTCCCTAGATTAGCCGAAATCTGTAAGAACGAACAGTGCAATCCAAATCCCTTCCCTTCTTGAAGTTCTTTTTCTCAGGTATGCCACAGCAATGAAAGCAGACTAAGCAGCGGAGACTGCAGGGTTGTTTTTAGGGTTAACAGAAGCTCCCCTGGAGTGCTCCGTGAGAGCCGCTGGAAGACAGGACTCATTTTCCAGATTCTGGTTCTCAAACTATGTGGACAGATGCACAGCCTGAGAAGATGCTAGAAGTCAGCTAAGTCCACTCTCAATGGAGAAACTCTACCTCAATACAGCTATTTTGGAAAATGTCACCTTTTCTGTAAGTGCTGAACTTATCAATTCATCTTTTATTGTTCAAAGAAACTAATTCTTTTTTATTTATTTATTTATTTTTATTTATTTATTTATTTAGAGACAGCGTAGCCCTCTTTGTAGCCCTGGCTGTCCTCAAACTGGCTCTTCAAACTCACAGAGATCCGCCTTCCTCTGCCTCCGGAGTGCTGGGATTAAAGGCTTGCACCACCATTGCCCAGCCCAAGGAAACTATCTTTAAAGAAAAAATGTTACTTGGATTCACAAAAGCACTTTAAAATTAAGCTGTCAGGTTAGGCACAGTGGCATATGCCTTTAACCTCAGTAATCAGGAGGCGGAGACAGGCAGGTCTCCAATGAATTCAAGGCCAGCCTGGTCTACACAGTGAGTTCTGGTTCAGCCAAGGCTACATAGTGAGATCCTGTCTCAAAAAATCAACTAGCAGATCAACCAACCAAACAAACAAAAGGCCTTTTGACACACCATTTATAATAATGGCAGAAATGGGAACCAGTCTACAGTCACACTTCCCTGAGCTCCGTGGATCTTAGAAGCTAAGCAGGGTTGGGCTTGGTTAGTTCTTGGAAGGAAGAAATGGGAAGGAAGGTTAGTCTGTGGTTTTTAGTTGCTGCCCTCTGTCCTCACCCCACTGTTTGTTTTGTAACAATAAGAAGACAATTTGGAAAGGTCACGGGAAATCAATTTGAGATTTCAACTTTCCAGTTTGGAAATGTCAAAAGGAGAGACACAGTACTGACATTATCTGGATAAGTCTCACTTATTCGTCAATTACCCTTTGCCACATATGCTCCCCCCCCCCCCCCCGCAATGTACATTTGCTTTTGGAGAGAGTATGGAGCTAGTTTTAAATAATCTGTGGACATACCACAGCACCTCAATATTTCAGCTTGCGTCTCCTAAGACACTCTCCTACATAATCTTTTTTTTAAAAAAGATTTATTTATTTATTATGTACACAACATTCCTTCCATGTATGCTTGCATGCCAGAAGAGGGTACCAGATCTCATTATAGATGGCTGTGAGCCACCATGTGGTTGCTGGGAATTGAACTCAGGGCCTCTGGAAGATCAGTCAGTGCTCTTAACCTCTGAGACATCTCTCCAGCCCTCTCCTACATAATCTTAACACCTCATATTATACTCAAGAAACTTAATAAAACTTAATATGCTGATAATAACCTCTAATAAGGCTATCTTTGAATTTTATCAATAACAGTTCAAAATGGTCTTGACAGTTATTCTTCACACGCTCCTCAGCACAGCACATCTGGAAGTGTCTTGGTCTCCTTTGAAACTTTAATCTGTCTTCTGCCTTCTGGCCTTGGTGTCATAATAACCTTGGAGAGTATATTCTGACTGGCTCATAGGTTGTTATTCACTGGGTTTATCTGTTTCTTGAGGACAGATGCAGGTTAAACAATATTGCTGAGCATGCTACCTTGACAAGGCTTAAATGTGTTTGCTGCACTCTCAGCGGCACAGTGTGAGACCAGCACATACTGAATGTCACTGGTGGCAGCACCCTACCTCAGCCACCGAGGCAGCTACACCATCACCTGTTGCCAAGTACCTGGCCACTGCCAGCTATGTGACACGTGCACCCTCTAAAAGCTCCTTCTCTTGCTCCTCTTCCCTGTACTGTCTGTCTTGTCTGTCTGTCTGACTCTCTCAATGTCCCCACTCCTAGACAGCCTTTCATTCTTTCCCTCTCCCCCTTTTCCCTCCCCCATAAATCTCCTGCACTAACTCTGCTGTGTGGCATGTTTGGTTAGTGGTATACCTTGTCAGGGCCCACCGAAAGATACCCACTTCACTTTTTTTTTAACCCTCACATTGAAGACATTAAATATTGTCCCTATGGGAAGGGGATGACTGTAGGTACACTTCCTCCCTCTAATTAACTTATACTATGGAGGATAATGTTCTTAGAAGTTCAGGAAATTTTGGTTGCTTATTTCTAGTACCTCATTTTGTAACGTCAGCCATGACTAAATACACACTCGCGTCAATGAATAGTAAAGGATCCCACTAGAAGGACAAACACACAGAAGATCCCCAGAGGATAATAGGCTGTGACTCAAGAGAACAGTATTAAATAAACGGTGAAGGACTATGGGATCACTAGCAGAGCCCTAGTCTGAACAGTCCAGCATAAGAACGGGATGCCTCTAGACGTGTACACCATGAGGGGCAAATGAGTGGAGCTGGTGGCAAGCAGAGCCTCTGACTCTCAGACATGTAGAAAATCGACCCCTGAACTTCCCCTGCCCAGTCTCACTTATTCTCAGGGAAAGAGATAATCCACAGCCCTTCCTGACTCTGCTCCAGCAGTTTCCTTCCTGGAGCCATTCCCAAGGTGGGGGGTGGGGACCTCATGGCAAACAGGGAAGGGCATGCCACTGTTTCCTGGCAGTAAGAAAGGAAGGCAGTGGCAAGCTCTTTGAGAGGAAATATTCAGTTTAATGGGAAGAGGACCATGCATGGAGAGGGGATGTTTTGTCCCTGAGGTACAGACTGCTGTTGCTTTTATTTGTATCATCAGATTCAGCCGGGGACAATGATTTATTGAACCAAATACACAGACCATTTATACTTTTGAGATGGAATTTTTAAAAAATTATTAAGCACAACTTCTAATAAAGACTATGATGACATTTTGCTTTGTACATAGACCCGGGAGCTCAGTGGAGGAAGACACAGCTCATTTTCCAGATACTAATTCCATATGGGCTCCCAACCAATCCGAACCACAAAGCTAAGAGGAGTCCAGGCAGACCCAAGGCCATGATTTCTCTCAAGGAAAACATTGCCTAGCTTTCTGCTATGACCCTGCTAAGCCCATGAAGGTCAGGCACGTGTTGGTTTGAGGGACAGAGAGAGCCACATACTCACACAATTATTACTCCTGTTAGGACAACATGGCTGGACAAATCTTTCTAAATTAGCCAGGGAGAGAAGGAAAACAGAAGACTAATGTGTCTCAGTAATGGGCTGTTTGGCTAGATGTTCCACAAGTACTTGGTTTCTTAAACCCTGGTGTTCTGATTTTTCTGTAACTTTCAGCATCCCTCACTCCCCCATTCTCTGTTACCTTACAACAAACCAACTCTGAAGAGGCTAAAGATATAGCCCAATTGGTACAGTGCTTGCCTAGAATGCAGGAAGCCCTAGGTTTAACAACCAGCATCAAGTAAACCAAGTATGATGGTGCATGCTAATAATCTTAGCAATCAGGAACTGGAAGCAGGAAGATTAGAAGTTCAAGGTCATCTTCAGCTATATTATGAATTTGAGGTCAGCATAGAATATATGAAATCCTGTCTCAAAACAAAACATTAAACAACCAATCCTTGAGATGCTAATATTTTAATAAGTTAGCTTTAGTGGCGTATTCTTAAAATTCCAGAACTTGGAAGGCTGGGGCAAGGAAGAAGTAGAAGTTCAAGATCAAATTCATCTGTACAGGGGGTTTGAGGAAAACCTGAACTACATGTGACCCTTCTCAAAAACTGAAACAACAAAAAAATCCAGATGTCAATAAAAACAAAATTTAAATTCATAGGCTTCTCCAAGGTTGAGGCTATGTTTAAATTTCAGAACATAGAAACAATTCCTTCAGTTTTACATCACAGACACCTCATTTAAAATGGGTCACGCCTGGCCCTTTTTAGGAACAGGTAGGTACACTAATCACGTGGCTCTACATGCCACTTATATGAGCTGGCTCCTATACACGTTTGCAGACATTTCCCCAACCCTTCTGACCCTTTCACTGCTACTAAACACCATGTGAAACCCCAAACACGAAGATGGGTGCTGGACAACGGGGCTACTGATACCCAGCATCCTGTCTGGAGGGGAGAGAGATATGGTCCTTTTAGATGAGGCTGGAGTGGGCCCTCCTGTGGGAGCCCAATTCCTGAATCCCTTTCTGGTCAGCATCAACAACATGGCTTGCTTGTTCAACTGCCAGATTAATGACTCTGGTCTCATGGAAACTGAATCCTATTAAAACCTGACTGAAAAATTTAATGATGCTCACCTCAATCTATCCTTCTACCTCCCGGGCAGCCCTCATTTCTCCTCGGAAGGCAAATGTTCCATCGGCAGCCTTTCCCTTGTCATGCCACCCCCACTAGTCTAGAATTTAAGGGACCCACGGGAAGCACAGATCTGTATGCAAGCGGTTTTAGGACGGCAGCTGGAATCCCAAAACATCACTCTGCTAAGGAAATGCAATGCGTTCCAACAAAGAAAAACTTGCTCTCATGTAGCATGGGACCGAGAGCAGAAAGTTCTTTCTCCCCCTCACTCCTCTCTCCCTCCACCCGCCTCTTTCTTGGAGGCAGGAAATGGTTTTCATAGATGGTGGCCACAGCCAGGCCATGTGTAAACCACAACATTGCTTCTTGAATGGATAGACGGTTTTTACTCATTGAATCACTGACCACCAATGAAAGAATTCCCATCTCTAGAGCAAGAGGAATGGTTAGGCACAGCTACCTTCCTGAAGCTACCAGTTGGTGGCTGTTAGAGCAGCCTTTTCATACAGAAAGACGGACAGTTCTCCAAGGTTGTTAGAATCCTTATTTGCTGAGTGATGCTTTCATTTGTACCTAGGCTCCTCAGTGCATCTGTGTTTGTACTCATGGCCACAGTAGGTCACAGTGAAAAGAGTGAGAGTTCAGGTCACTACCGAAGCTGTTACAAACACAGGCGGCCATACTCTGGGAAATGGGCATCACACCCCTGCTGAGTGAGGCTCTCATGGCTTCTCACCCCAAAGCTTCAGTGCAGCTTAAAGGAGGCTATGGCTGCTATTCCCTCCTGGGGGACCAGTGGCTTTATGTTGCCTGCCCTTCCTGTCACCATGGGGCTGGGCTAGTCAAGCAAGGATTGAATGAGCAATCAATGTTCTCACAGTCCAGACTCAGGAAGGAGACTGAGCACAGGCACTGAATGACCTGAATGCTACAGTTCAAAGTGGAGCACGAATGTGAAAATCAGAACCAAACCCAAACCACAGCCTCAATCACTTTGAAGGATGTTCTCATGGGAATGAAGATAATGGAAACCACCCAAATATAAGCTACTAAATATATGCTATGAAAGCATGCTGGGAAATCTGATGACCAGCCAATTCATTTCAAGACAAGGTTTCTCTGTAGCTATGGAGCCTGTCCTGGAACTATCTCTTGTAGACCAGGCTGGCCTCGAACTCACAGAGATCCGCCTGTTTCTGCCTCCCGAGTGCTGGGATTAAAGGCGTGCGCCACCACTGCCCAGCAGCCAACTCACTTTCTTTTTTTTTTAAAAAAAATTATTTAATTTTTGCATTGATGTGGGGGTAGCAGATCCCCTGGAACTGGGGTTACAGACAGTTGTGAGCTGCTGTGTGGGTGCTTGGAATTAAACCTGGGTCCTCTGGAAGAGCAGTGAGTGTTCTTTAACTTCTAAGCCATCTCTCCTGTCTAGCTAATTCTTATTCTCAAGAGAATACTTCTGAAATAAATTTATTGAGACATAATTCACACAATAAAAAGCCTACCTATATAAGGCATATAACCAAAAAAATTTTTCGAGGGGGTGTTCAAGACAGGGTTTCTCTGTGTAGCCATTGGCTGTCCTGAAATTTATTCTATAGTGAGCTGGCCTTCAACTCACAGATCCACCTGCCTCTGCTTCCCAAGTTCTAGAACTAAAGGAGTGTGCCATCACAGCGGCACAATGGTTTTTTTGGATATATTATCATAATCTAATTTTAGAACACTTTGTCATCACCACAAAAACCGTCGTAGTGAGTGTGGACAGGATGGCAGGATGCCCGAGAACTACTGTGCAGCAAAGTTCTGGCTGTTGCCAACACTACCTTGGATCTATACTTTTAAAGCATGGCTTTGCTCCCAAAGAAGTGATACATTTATTCCACCACCTAATTACTATATATTTATTTGTATTTTGTACAAGTTAACTTCTTTGAAACTTAGTAACCAATTAGTAAAACAAGGGTAACAGTAACCACCTTGAAGAGTGATAATTAAACCAGAGATAAGACACTGCTAAACCCTTATCTATACAATGCCTTCAGTGAGCCAAGCCCCTGATGCTACTAGAGACAAAGACACAGATTTCTTCTTTAATTCACTCACAAGAGACAAATATGAGAAGCAGCAGTTACTTTCTTAAAAAACTGCACACAGGGGGCTGGAGAGATGGCTCAGATGTTAAGAGCATTGCCTGCTCTTCCAAAGGTCCTGAGTTCAATTCCCAGCAACCACATGGTGGCTCACAACCATCTGTAATGAGATTCGGCGCCCTCTTCTGGCCTGCAGGCATACACATAGACAGAATATTGTATACATAATAAAATAAAATAAATAAATTAAAAAAAAAAAACTGCACACAGAACCATGTATGGTAGCGCACACTTTTGATCCCAGAACTCCGGAGGCAGAGTCAGGTGGATCTCTGAGTTCAGGGTCTACAGAGTGTGTTCCAGAACAGTCAGGGCTACACAATGAAACCATGTCTCGAAAAAACAAAACCAACGATCCCCCCCCCCTCCCGCCAGTTGTGACCAAGAAGTGTAGCTGAGCAGGACAGGGAGCAGAGATGGGGGAGGCGATGAGAGGTAGGAGGTGGAGTCTCATTAAAAGGGCAAGAAGAACTATGTAAGAACAGCCAGGACAGAAGGACCCAGGAGGTCGAAGCATCTGATGGCTATGAATGCACCCATCACACTAAAGTTTTCAGGCAGTCTCTATTCTGGTCTTCATGTGCCTCAAAAAGATGCACTCTATGCTGGATGTGGTGGTGAACACCTTTAATTTCAGCACTTAGAAGGCAGAGGCACATAGAACTCTGTGAGTTCAAAGCCAGACTAATCTACAAAGTAGGTTCCAAAACAGCAAAGGACACAGAGAAACCATCTTGAAAAACCAAATCAAACCAAACCAAATGATGCACTCTAAAATTCACGCACATACAAATTTAAAATTCCTAAAATATTTTATTGTACGTGTATATGTATATTTGTCCCCATGGAACTGGAGTTATAGGTGGTTGTGAACATGATGTGGATGCTAGGAACTCTGGTTCTCTGCAAGAGCAGCAGGTATACTCAACCAATGAGATACCTCTCCAGATCCCAAATTTAAACTGTTACTGGTAGGAAAATTAGTGGGCTTGGAATCCAGAAGTTGCTTGTTCTGCTTTTTTCTGAAGGTAAGTCATCTCTGGCAGCAAAATATATTTGACCTCCCACCTCCAAATAAGCCCCTTGAATTTCAAACTAAGAAAAGCTAATCTATTGTGTAACAGCCCCCCAACCCTGAGAATAGTTTTCTTTTTTAACTTGCTCTGATTGTTAATTTCAGTTTCTTTGAAGGTATCTGGGAGCCTTCTAACGGTCAACTTTTGGACATTTTTCCCTGACACTCACTCTCTAGATGACATCACTTGGCACACTGCCTGGCCCTGGTAGGTATTCAATAAATATTTGTTAAAAGAATGTATGAAGGGGGCTGGAGAGATGGCTCAGTGGTTAAGAGCATTGCCTGCTCTTCCAAAGGTCCTGAGTTCAGTTCCCAGCAACCACATGGTGGCTCACAACCATCTGTAATGAGGTCTGGTGTCCTCTTCTGGCCTGCAGACATACACACAGACAGAATATTGTATACATAATAAATAAATAAATATTTAAAAAAAAAAAGAATGTATGAAGAGCTGAGTGGTGGTGGCGCACGCCTTTATTCCCAGCACTTGGGAGGCAGAGGCAGGTGGATCTCTGTGAGTTCGAGGACAGCCTGGGCTACAAGAGCTAGTTTCAGGACAGGCTTCAGAGCTACAGAGAAACCCTGTCTCGAGGGGAAAAAAAAAAAGAAAAAAAGTATGAATCTTGGAAAATTATATTAATTTTGTATATCATGCACAAATTCTCATAAGTGAAATACATTTAAGTAAAACTCTGCATTGATTAAGGCCTTTGTGGCCATCCATCCTTAGCAATTTCCAGGCAGCTGTGAACTTCAAGTCAGTAACGGCAAAGCACTTGCTTGGAATTCACCCTAGGCTGGCCTGCACACCTGAGGATCTGGAGAATGTTCCACCTCATGTCACAAACTCTGATGCAGATACTTGGTTACAATCTCTTAAGTAACAATAACTAAAGAGAAAGGATGGAAAGGAACGCTGACAAGTGTTTCCCCTCCTCTAGGATAGAATTTGCAGAAAGGGAAAGAAATGTAGATTCATTTTGTGCAAAACTGGAACTCTGTAATAACTAGGTCATGAAATCAACCAAAGACTTCTTTACTGTAGCAGTTATTTTCCATTTTTACTGGATACAATACAGATGGGCTACTACTTTGGGGTGTGTGTAGGTGTGTTGTGGGGGTCACTAGTGCTTGTGTACACATGTTGGTCGTTAGTGTTGTATGTGGGTATGTGTGCAAATATGTTTTGCTAGCAATATGACACAGGACCTAACACACACTAGATAAGCCCTCTGCCCCCGAAGCTGTATCCTCCAGCCTGGGGGACGAAAGGAAGGCTAATTTCAAAGTTATATAAAACTTGATGAATATAATTAGAGCAATTAACTAACTCAATACTTAGCCATCTGTATAATTTCTTGTCAGAATCTGCCAGAAAGACTGATTGGGACTTACAGATTTGCTACAGGCACAGGATAGCTGGAGAAAAGCGAGCATTCCCTTCAGCTGTGCCCGCCATATCAAAGTGAGAGACTTGTGCAGACACTAGCTTTCCATTCTGGGCAGACTTGAGCAGTGTGCAGAGCAGAACCAGAAAGGCAGTGACACTAGCTAGGAGGAGGTGCAAAAAGGAACTGGCGTTTCTCACTGGTGGGGTTCTTGGTGCCCAGTAAGGATCTCAGGAATAAAAAGAAGACTGAAAAACTTCCAAAGACCCATGCATGGTGGCTCAGACCTGTGATTCCAATCCTAGGTAGACTGAACTTGGAGACAAGCTACAGAGCATCATGAGGACTTGGAGGCAAGCTACAGAGCAAAACCCTGTCTCAACCAACCAACCAAACAAACAAACAAAAAGTTTTCAAGGGGTGGGGTCGAAATGAGGTCAAATACAAAGGACTTCTCCAGAGCAGCCCTGGAAGCTGGAAGACTGACAGCAGAGCAATCCTCTCACCACTCTAAAGAGAAGGCTCTTCTCACCTGCAGTACTGTGTTGTGAAGTGCAGGCAGAACAGACTTTGTCACACACTTTACATCTCACAGATCTGCTCCTTCGGAAGGCACTAGAAGATGAGTTCTATCACAACCTAAAAATAAATCTAGAAAAAGGAAGTTCCAGAGGTCCACAAAAGGACAGAAGGAAGTCCCAGAACAAAGCTGACAGAATGAAGACCAAAGAATTGAGCAAGAGAAGGACAGGCTCTAGAAGGAATCAGAGGAAGGTGGGCAGACTGCAGAATGCCGGGGCTGGGATTATGGTTTGATGCTAGAATGCTTGTCTAGTATTATATATATATATATAAATTTTAGCTAGGCAGTGGTGGCACATGCCTTTAATCCCAGCAATTGGGAGGCAGAGGTAGGCAGATCTCTGTGTGTTTGAGGCTAGACTGGTCTATAAAGTAAGTTCCAGGACAGCTAGAGCTGTTACAGAGAGAAACCCTGCCTTGAAAAACCAAAAAAAAATAAATAAATAATCACTGGTAGTCAATTTGGGTTAATCTTAATGCCCCTCTTGGGGGGGGGGCAGGGACGGGGATGTGGTATAACTCAATAGTATAGTATGTGCCTGGTATATGTGAGTTTAATCTAGCATCCACCTAAAGGGGAAAATCCTGGAGAACCTTCAGTCTTTCCGTTAGTGCCTTCATCGCCCTAATTTGGAAGCTGTCCTGTTTCACCTCTACTGCTGCAGTATTTTAGTGCCCTACTTATTATTAATAAATACTGTGCTTAAGGATCTGCAATCCTCTCCACAACATCGAAGTCCCTGAATGGAGATGTTTTTGATAGCACTCTGGGCACATGCCATTTGCTCTAATTAGTTCATCTGCTCATTCACAACGTCCTGTATTCCTCCCTGCTCTGTGCCAGCAGCCATGCTGAAGCCAGGGACACAGCGTACCCAGGGTTCCTGTTCCTGGGAGCTCTGGCTCCTGACAGTGCACGATAAAAAAAATACCAAGAACATCTACTGCCTGCTTCTCCCGCCAACACCCGCCACATATTGTTTAGTGTTCCTCAGAAGTCAAAAAACCATCAGCTCTGGAATCCCTGAAATTACTAAGAATACAAACCTGGGCACCACAAGATGGTAGTGTGGGGGAAGGCTGCCAAACTTGATCACCTGTGTTCTGATTCCTGGACCCACACACACTAGAAGAGAACCGATCCCACAAGCTGTCCTCTGACCTTCATACGTGTGCGTGCAAGCAGAAGCACACAAAATGCAAATTCCAGGGTCCCTTTCTTGTTCCCCAAGAACTTTGGAGCAAGGCCCAGCATCCGCACATTGCTAGGAATCTGCTAAGGAAGGGTTGAGGACCAACATCTAAGCAAGCTCTCGTTTTCTTTGGCTGAAGCACAAGAAGTCACCTCAACATTAAAGCTTGGACATGAGCTGAACTGGTCCTAATTGGGTGTAGGTATTAAGCCAGCAAGAGGCAGATCTAAAAAACAATGAATATATAGACTTAAGATCCAGGAGAGGCCAGGATGGGGTAGCCATCAATTTACTGCTCTTTCTCCACTGGATAAACAGACGAGAAACCTTTCATTGAGTGCACTGCTGGAGTGAAGAAAGGTAAGAAGTTAGAATAGTGCCCAACAGAAGAGGTTTTACAGAACCCTACTCCTTAGAAGATTCACAGTCTGAGAACTAGAGCTTCAAGTGTTACACATCTCTTGAGAACGACCCTCATCCTACAATCAGGTCCACCCCCAAGCACAACGTATCCAAGCAGCTTTTGCTGTTATTTTGAAGGCTGCTTCTCAGGCAGGCCATCCAGTCTCTAGGAAAAAATGAAGTAAATTATAGCTCTTAAAACACAAAGTGGGCCTTATTCACCAGGGCTACATCACTGAGCAATATGGGGCTTCATTCTGCAGCTATAAAACTGCCACTGGCTGCTCAACCCACTGTGTGGAAACGGGATGGAAAAGAAAAGTTGCACTGACGTGATGGGTCACTCCTGGAGTACCAGTGTTTAGGAGGCCAGTCTCAGCTCCATAATGAAACACTACCTTAGCTGGGCAGTGGTGGCACATGCCTTTTATCCCAGCACTCGGGAGGCAGAGGCAGGCAGATCTCTGAGTTCGAGACCAGCCTGGTCTACAACAGCTAGTTCCAGGACAGTCTCCAAAGCTACAGAGAAACCCTATCTTGAAAAAACAAAATCAAAACAAAACAAAACAAAACAAAACAAAGGAAGGAAGGACGAAAGAAAGAAAGAAAGAAAGAAAGAAAGAAAGAAAGAAAGAAAGAAAGAAAG